TTAGTTTTAGGTGTATACCCCAGTGATTACACATTACGTAACTTAATAAGTGATCATCCTAATAAATCTCACACCAGTCTGACACCATAGTTATTAGAATATTGACTATATTCCTGATGCTGTACTTTACATCCCCATGACTATTATGTATTTAACTACTAATTTGCACTTCTTAATCCCTTCACTTTTTTCACCTATCCCCCTAACTCCCTTCCCATCTGGCAACTATCAAAATGTTCTCCGTAACTGAGTCTTTTTTTTGTTCTGCTTGTTTGTTTTTTAGATTCAATATGTATTTTATTGTTGTTCATCCTTACTCAAGGATATTTTTTCCACTGATTTTTAGAGTGGAAGGAAGAGGGGTCAGAGAGGTAGAGACACATCCATTGGTTGCCTCAAACATGTACCCCAACCTGGGCCGGGAATCAAACCTACAACCCAGGCACCTGCCCTTGATCAGGAATCAAACACACAACCCTTTAGTGCATGGGCCAATGCTCTAACCACTGAAAAGCACTGCCAGGGCTAATAGATGGTATTTATTGCCATTTTATTGTTCATATATATTTTTTTAATTCTCACCTGAGGATATTTTTCCATTGATTTTTTGATAGAATGGGAGGGGAGGGAGGGAGGTGGGATGGAGAAAGAAAGAGAGAAAGAAACATGAGTGTGAGAGAGACACATTGATTGGTTGCCTCCTGCACGATCCTGACTGGGGCTGGGGATTGAACCCACAACTGAGGTATGTGTCCTTGACCTGGAATTGAACCTGTGACTCTTTGTTCCACGGGCAATGCTATAACTGCTAAGGCACACCAGGCTGGGCTTATTATTCATATGTTCTTTTTTTTTTTCTTTTTCTTAAAGAAGACCCTTTAACATTTCATATAACTGGTTTGGTTTGGTGGTGATTAACTCCTTTAGCTTTTTCTTGTCTGGGAAGCTCTTTATCTGTCCTTCAATTCTAAATGATAGCTTTGCTGGGTAATCTTGGTTGTAGGTCCTTGCTTTTCATTACTTTGAATATTTCTTATCAATCCCTTCTGGACTACAAAGTTTCTGTTGAAAAATCAGCTGACAGTTTAATGGGAGCTCCCTTGTAGGTAACTAACTGCTTTTCTGTTGCTGCTTTTAAGATTCTCTCTTTGTGTTTAACCTTTTGCATTTTAATTATGATGTGTCTTGGTGTGAGTCTCTTTGGGTTTATATTGTTTAGGACTCTGTGCTTCCTGGACTTGTATGTCTATTTACTTCACCATGTTAGGGAAGTTTGCTGTCATTATTTTTTTCAAATAGGTTTTCAGTTTCTTGCTCTCTCTTCTCCTTCTGGCACCCCCATGATGTGAATGTGGCATGCTTGAAGTTGTCCCAGAGGCTCCTTAAACTGTCTTCATTTTTTTGGATTCTTTTTTTCTTTTTGCTGTTCTGATTGGGTATTTTGTGCTTCCTTATATTCCAGATCACTGAGTTGATTCTTGGCTTCATCTACTCTACTGTTGATTCCCTGTCAATTATTCTGCAGTTCAGTTAGTGTAGCCTTCAATTCTGACTGATCCTTTTTTATGCTGTTGAGGTTCTTGCTAAGTTTATTGAATATCCTTATAACCATTGTTTTGAACTCTGCATCTGGTATATTGCTTGTCTCCATTTTGTTTAATTCTTTTTCTGGAGTTTTGTTTTATTCTTTCATTTGGGACATCTTTGTCTCCTCATTTTGGCAGCCTCCCTGTGTTTATTTCTATGTATTAGGTAGAGCTGCTACATCTCCTAGGCTCGGTAGAGTGGCCTAATGTAGTAGGTGTTCTACAGGATCCAGTGGCACAGCCTCCCCGATCAGCCAAGCTGGGCACTTGAGGTACATTGTGCCCCTTGTGTGGGTTGTGTACATCCTCCTCTTGTAATTGAGCCTTCATTGCTGTTGGCATGTCAATGAGAGGGATTTACCACCAAGCCTATCAGCTGCAAGTACTGGCTGCAACCCTTGACCTCTGACCACTGTGGAGGGTCAGCTGTGCAGGGCCCCACCTCATGGAGCGAGACTTATTTCAGCACGGTTCTGGTGCCTGCTGAGTCTGCCCCTTGAGTGTGTCGCTTGTGGAGGTGGTTGGGTGGTGATGCTTTGATGTGGTCTGAAACTGTCCACTGGGTGCGCTGGCTTTGGAACCTCCAGGACATGCAAGCCAAGGTCAGCCACCACCTGTATTCTGCCTGGGGCCACCTGGCATGAGATATAAAGCAATATATGGATGACTGCTACTTGTGCTAGGCTTGGAGGTCCCCAGGAGAGGCCAAGCTGTGAACCAAGGCCAGCGGCTGCTAGTGCCAAGGCTGAGGCCACTTAGTGAGGGGTATGGGACATGCCAAGGCCAGCTGCTGCTTGTTTGAGAGACTTCAGGAAAATGTGAAGCATGAGCCAAGACAGGTCATTCATATGGAAAAGCCACTGGAAACAGCTTGAGTGGACTCAAAAGTTGGGCAGGGCGGGGCTTCAGGGAATCACCAAGGTGGGGCAAACAGTGTGAGCCAAGTTGATAGTCTCAGATTTGGTGCCCACCTGCCATCTTTGTCAAGGGAGAGCTCATCAAAGGAACAATGGCCTCTGCCAGCACTTCTGTCTTGAAGCTGCCCCCCAACCAGCTTTCTTGCCTTGATGCTGGACAATTAATTTCATACACATATATCTCTGGTGCCTATCAGATTGCTGCCCCAGTGCTGGAGCTCAGAGGGAATGAGCTCAAGTTAGTCTGTGGTTGGGCCCTTTTAAGAGGAACTGCCTGGCACTCCAGTAGCCCCTGTCTCCCTCAGCCTCGATCCCCGTTGGTTTTTACAGCCAGCAGTTATAGGGACTTATCTTCCTGGCACTGAACCCTGGGTTGGGGGGCCTGATGTGGGACTGGGACTTTTCACTTCTCAGAAGAGACCCCTGTAACTGAGATATCCCTCCCAATTTTTATGTCACACCTGGGTGTGGGGCCAGCCTGTCCGAATCTCTGCCCCTCCTACTAATCTCAACATATCTTCTTTAATTCCCTAGTTGTAGAACTTTCATTCAGCTAGGTTTCAAGTGGTTCTGGGTGATGGTTGTTTTGTAGTTTAGTTGTAATTTGTTGTGGTCATTGGAGGAGGCGAGTAACACTATGCCACCATCTTGCCCTAAAGTCCTATACATAGATTTTAAAATAAATAGTTAGCCCTTCTTATTTAGTGGTTTTGTGTCTGCAGATTCAACCAACCATGGCTCGAAAACAGTATTTTTGCTGGTTGAATTCACAGATGAGAAGGACCAACTATAGAGGCTAAAGTGATACTCAGATTTTGACTGCATGGGGGGTCGACACCCCTAACTCCAGCATTGTTCAAGGGTCAACTATATTTATCTGATTTTAATGAAGAGAGTCAAAAAGTAATTTAAAAATCACTATTTTAATACACAAAAGTGAAAAACTGCCTATAATACAAAAGCATTTCACATTTTTTTAAAAATAAGTATTTTCTAAATTACTTAACAGATGATAGATCCACAATCCTTTATCTGAAATTAGAGCCAGACGTTTCAGAATTATGACATTTTCAGATTTTAGAAAGGTAATTCAGTGCATATACCATACTACATAAATACCTAGAAGGGTCTGGCAGCAGCCCCTGTCCCCCAGTAATCAAACATGTTAATATTTCTGCAGCAAAATAAATGAAGAGTCACACTAAATCGTATAGGTAGATTTAACTGTCAGTTCAGGTTAGATTTGCAAGCAAATGAGTTTTGTCACCAAGATTATGAAAAACCTTGCTTTCAGAACTTTTTGGATTTTGGAATTACAGATAAAGGAGTGCAGACCTTTATGATGAGACAAGATTCCTGAAACAAGTGACTCATTTTTACAAATGAAAAAACATAAGCTTTCAAATACATTATAAATTAACAGACATTTTATCTTTGATATTACTAAATGTACATCTTAAATACATATACACATAGCACACCTATATTTAAACAAGTTCATGGACGTAAAATTCTGTCTGTTCAGGGGTTAAAATCACCCAAAGCCAACATACTGCCCTTGTAAAACCATATGTAGTTTTTTTTTTTTTTATCACAGCCATTTCTTCCACTGAAGGGTGTCTGGAGAATGGTTTCATGGGAGAAAACAAACTTCGAACACGTACAGCAACAACTTCCATTGGTTTGGGGACAGTGAATAAGTGGCAAGTCATTCTATTAACCAACTCCAATCAAGATTCTAAAACCAGGCATGAAAAAATTACAGTTAGATGTTTGCTGACTGTAAGCAGTAGGTTTATGGGTGTTCATTTTTGCAAGTTTTCTTAGTATGTTTGGACATTTTATAATCAAAAGTTAAAAAATTAAAAGCATAAATAAGTTGCAATTAGAGTTTAGTTTACTTTATTTTCTACTTATTAAAAAAATATTTCAAAGAGTTTTCATATTTGAAGCAAATAATTAATTAAAGAGGAAATATAGAGTTGACATTGAGACTAAGTGTAGTAAAAGTTAATCCAGTACACATTTTATTGTAGTTTCTCCAAGTTTTAACATATCAGTGCTTCACAGTAACTAAATCATCTTAATATAAATACTTCTATTAATTACAAGTATGTTAACAGTATTCATTTATATACAGCAATTACTCTATTTTGAATTATGATATAAATCCTGACCCATCTTATCGGAGAAAATTGATTGTTGAAGCAAAAACGTACAAAAAATTTAATTTCAGTGGTCACACTGCAAAAAAAGCTCACCAATCATTTGACCAGAAATGCTACTGTTGAAGATTATTGATGATACAATCCTAGGACATGCACGAGTAAAAGATGGGGATTTGAAGTCAAGGATAATTCTCAAATGCTCTTTCTCTTTCCTCTGAGTTCTTCTATTCCCCATATGCATCCCAAATGCCAGGTAAGGCTAGCATGGAAAGTTAAATCCTTGGCACCCAAATACCTAAAACACACATCCATAGCCATATAAAACTTACCGCTATCTTACTGCTCTGTTCCTCATTTACTTCATGAATAATAGTGCTTAAATGGCCAAGACAATTCAAATTTTCTTCTATCATTTGTGCCAAAGTCTCCCTGTAAAGTGAAAAAAAAAAATTAGCCTTTTCAAATTCAGCAGAGGGGCATATGAATTTCCTCTACTTTTTGGTCTTCGGGGTCAGGATGATCTCTGCCCTTCCTGCAACCCTGCACCCCAATGCAGCTTATTCCTGTAGTCTTCAGTTTCCTCATCCTTTCCACCCAGAGGCACAGTCCTGCTTGTTACTCCATCTGTTGCCTCTGCCCAGCTTTAACAATAAGAAGTCTACTATAACTCCAATCTGGTTTTCCTCTGAAATAAAAGTGGCACTTATATACAACCCCCACCCCGAAATGCTAACTGGGTGGGGGTGGGGGATAGATCCTTGTGGCACAGACAGATGAAAGATCTCTTTGTTTCTGGAGCATTTCCCTTTCCTTACAAGTAAACAACATTACTTTTCAGAGATGCAAATGTAGGGGAGAAAATACAAAAGTACAGTTTGTTCTGCAAAGGTCAGGGAAGGTGAAAAACTCTGATTGGAAACTACAGATGGCAGCAATGAAAAAATGAAACAAGCAAGCTGATTCCTGAGAACAGCAGAAGAAAACAGTTTGACAGGGGAGCTGCTCAGAACGAAGATTCCTAGAAGTTTATATTTGAAGGAAATCCTGATTCTGGTTTCCACTTTCCACTTCTATATGGCCTCTATTCTTGCCTTTTACCACCTCTCAGAGTTCCTACTGGATTAGAATCAGTTCTAGGCCATGTATGATTGTCCCTATTAGCTTAGAACTAAATTCTAATTCAGCTCCTATTTAACAGATGGAAAAATTGAGGCCAACAGTTCCCAATCCTTGGTGATTAAGTACCACAGGTACATAATAACTGAAATCAGTTTTCCTTTACAATGTATTCCTACTGGAAAATATATTTAATATTCCTGTTGAATATACTTTTGCAAACAATCACAACCTCAAATCTGAAATTAATTGTAGAGAGGTGATTATCTGCAACCATTAGCATCCCCTAACAAACCAAAATGCCTTTAATGAAAGCAGATAGGTTGGTAATGTATTAAATTTCATTTGATTTAACTCCAACTAATGGAATTATTTCCTAAAGTCTATATAATTAATTATAGCCTGTGCTGTAGCTATGGATGTATTACACTGGGCCAAATCTACAATGACCCCAAGATATATAACCTCGAACTTGCTTTCTTTAAAAAAATAAAATACCTGTTATCAGCTTGCCTTCCTGCCATGTGCTTTTCTCTCATAAAAGTAGAGTACAGAATGTGCAAACTGCATGACCTCCTGAGCAGTGATGTAACATGGCTGCACTTCTGCAAAACTAATTATGGGCAGAGCTTCCAGGAAATGCTGGTGCTGTAGAGGTCTCCATGAGTTGTAAGAAAAGCGACAATACACAAGCTAGCAAAGAGCCACTGGCTCTGGATACGGCACATCTTATGCTGAGAAAAATAACAGAAATGGATAGTCATTCAGCTTTTAGCAGAAGAGTAGGAATTAAAAAAAGAAAATATAGGGCCTCAAACTTCAGTTCTTATTTGCAAAACTGATTTAAGTCATTAAAGTCTGATATTAGAAAATACTAAGTTATAAAATAGAGTAGATTAAACTCAACAATTCATTAGAAGGATGATCAAGACCCCAAAATGATAAATACAAAAGGATAGCATAATTTCTCAGAGATAATGGTTAAGGAAAGAATAAAGTTTGGGTAAAAGAACTGATAACCCAATAACAGAGAGAGAACTTAGATTACTTTCCAGTACTTTATGTTGTCTAATTAAATTTTCACAGCAGTTCCCTTTTTACAGGTGAGGAAATGTGAACATTAAAAGTCAAGTTAATTGCACAAAGTTATTACACAGGACAGTCAGGACTCAACCCTAGTCTACACGGCACTGAAGACTATGCCTTAACCACTATGCTCTACTGCCTCATTCCTATCACTGCTCATGAAAACACAACTTTCTATTGTTACAAAGTGAACCCACCCATCTTGAGGAGTTACCACGCATGACAGCGGATGTTCACGTTCTGCTGAATTTGGAGGCAGCCATGCTGATGCCTGAGGGGTAGCTACTGCACTTTCAAGACTGGATCCTACAAAAGACCGAGCTGAACTCTGTGTCTGAAGGAAAATAAAAATAAGATTACAGGCAAGCATCTCCACTGATTTATACAATTTCCTACCATATTCCTAAGACTTAACATTTCTTTCACATCTTATATTCACTGACTAAAATCAAACCCATCTACCTATATAATTTCACTTTAGTTGAAGGAAAAAAACCCATTTGAACAATAGTTTTTTAATTAACTAGTTAGGCACATCTATCCCCAAATCAGGTTGGGATACCACAATGGTCTAGGGCTGGGAGGAGTATAAAAACAGGAGACTGGAAAGGAAAGGTAATGAGGGGTGGTCATGAAGTCCTGCATCTGAACTGCTGTCACACACCAAGCCAGGAACACAAGCATCAACCCAACACAAAATATACACATCTTCCAGGGGACCCAGATCATGCTGACAAAATCCTTTTTGCAGGGAATAACAGCATATCAATGTCACATTAAATAATTCATTAAAAGCTACTTACACAGGCAATTTTAAGGAGATGCCATATTTCTTTCTGCCTCTTTCCCTGCATAAACATTACAGTACTGTCAGCTTCTTTGATGTTACTGAGGGCCATTTCCACCTTGGGCAGTAGATCAATAATCTTCTGTTTACATCCCAACAACTTGCTGGAGAGATGAAATCGGTGTCACACACTTATACATCCCCCAAGACTGTACACCATACTCCCAAACCCAGCTGAGTAAATAAACCACAATCAGAGTCAGATTTAATGACTGATCTCTAAAGCAATGCATAAAAACAGGACACCTACATGTCCACAACTGTGGTCAAACTACCCAAGATACTGCCAGAACTCTGCCTGGGTCTAGTACACCAAAAAGGGGTATTACACTTTGAAAGGAAGATGCTAAAATACCCTGCTTCTCAAGAGGAAATAAAATGATTTTTCTACCTCAGATGACCAAACAGCTCCTTCAGAACCCGGTCCTGACTCTGCACAGTATGCACAATGATCTTCACCATCTCCGTGCTGTCACTGTAGGAGTGATCTACAAAAGACCTCAGTCAGTGTGTATAACCTCTCTTTTGCATGAACATGTCAGCCTCTAAACAAAAATTCCTAAAACTCTGAAACTAGTTTTAATTAACAACATCTCCACTTAAATTCAAAACTAGATTAAGATGATTTTAAGATTATATACCTCTAATTATATATCTAAAAGTATGTTTGTGCATATATAATATACATATATACATTTATCATTGTATTTTTTTTTGTATGTGCCCTTACCGGGAACCAAACCTGGGAATTTCTGGTCTGCAGGCCAATGAGCCAAACTGGCCAGGGCTCTTATTTAAAAAATTTTTTTATTTATTAATTTGTTTTTGTTACAGATGTTTCTCCTTTTCCCCCCATTGACACCCTCTTCCCCTTCCCCCCCGCCCCATCCCCAGCTTTGTTGTCTATGTTCATTGGTCATGCATACATGCATGTAAGTTCTGTGGTTTATTTCTTCCCCCACAAGCCCCCGCCCCAGGCTTGTCAGCCTGTATCCCACCTCCATGTCTCTGGGTTAATTTTGTTCAGTAGTTTGTTTGGTTCATTATATTCCACAAATAAGTGAGATCATGTGATATTTGTCTTTCTCTGCTTGGCTTGTTTCGCTTAGCATAATATTCTCCAGGTCCTTCCATGCCATCTCAAAGGATAAGAGATCTTTCTTTCTTATTATTTTTTTATTTTAAATCTTTATTGTATGTATTACAGATGTTCCTCATTTTTCCCCCATTGACCCCCCTCCTCCCGTCCTGCCCCCTCACCTTTTCACATACTATTGTCTGTGTCCATTGGTTATGCATATAAGTTCTTTGGTTTATTTCTTTCCACCCCCAAACCCTTTGAGGTTTGTCATTCTAGCAATGAATTTGTACTTCTTAATCCTTTCACCTTTTTCACCCATTCCCCCAACCCCCCTCCCATCTGGCAACCAACAAAATGTTCTCTGTATCTATGAGAATGTTTCTGTTCTGCCTGTTCATTTTGTTTGTAGATTCCATTGTCGATAGATATGTATTCATTGCCATTTTGTTTGTTCATATATTTTATCTTTTTCTTCAAAAAGACCCTTCATCATTTCATATAATAACGGTTTGGTGGTGATGAACTCCTTTAACTTTTTCTTGTCTGGGAAACTCTTTATATGGCCATCGATTCTAAATGACAGCTTTGCAGGATAGAGTAATCTTGGTTGTAGGTTCTTGCTTCTCATCACTCTGAATATTTCTTGCCACTCCCTTCTGGCCTGCAAAGTTTCTTTTGAGAAATCAGCTGACAGTCTTATGGGAACTCCCTTGTAGGTAACTAACTTCTTTTCTCTTGCTGCTTTTAAGATTCTCTCTTTGTCTTGAACCTTTTGCATGTTGATGATGATGTGTCTTGGTGTGGGCCTCTTGGGGTTCATCTTGTTTGGGGCTCTCTGTGCTTCCTGGACTTGTATGTCTGTTTCCTTCACCAAGTTAGGAAAGTTTTCTGCCATTTTTGTTTCAAATGGGTTTTCAATTTCTTGTTCTCTCTCTTTTCCTTCCGGCACCCCCAAGATGTGAATGTTGGCACGCTTGAAGTTATCCCAGAGGCTCCTTACACTATCCTCATTTTTTTGGATTCCTTTTTCTTCTTGCTGTTCTGATTGGGCGTTTTTTGCTTCCTTATATTCCAAATCAATGGTTTGCTTCTTGGATTTATGTACTCTACTATTGAATCTGTGTAAATTATTCTTTATTTCAGTTAAAGCCTCCTTCGTTTCTAACTGTGCCTCCTTCATTTCTGACTAGTCCTTTTTTATGCTCTTGAGGCCCTCACTAAGTTCACTGAGCATCGTTATAAGCAGTATTTTGAACTCAGCATCTGTTAGGTTGCTTATCTCCATTTCGCTTAGTTCTTTTCTTGGGGTTTTGTTCTGTTCTTTCATTTGGGACCTGTTTCTTTGTCTCCTCATTTTGGCTGCCTCCCAGTGTTTGTTTCTGTGTATTACTAAAGAGAGGTATGGGGCTATCTGAGACCAGATGCTGCTTGTTTGAAAGAATTTAGGCAGCAGGATCCAAGACAGGCCAATCCTATGGTGAAGCAACTGGCAACAGCTTGGGTGGGCCTGAAAGTTGGGTGGGGCGGGGCCTCAGGGAATCACCTGGGTGGGGTCACCAGTGTGAGCCAGGTTGCTGGAGTCCCAGATATGGCGACTGTCTGCCACCCCAGGGAAGGGCTCACCAAAGGAACAAAGGCCTCTGACAGCATGTTTGTCCCGGAGAAAGCCCTTGCTCCAGTGCCAAACAGCTCAGTTTTTCCCTGTATATCTCTGGTGCCCCTGGAGCTGCCTCCCCTACAAGCTTAGAGGGAGTGAGTCTGATAAGTCCGTGTGCGGGCCCTTTAAGAGGAGTTGCCTGGGGCTCCAGCTGCGTCAGCTTCCCTGAGCCTCAGTTCCTGCTGGTTTTTCCAGCCAGAAGTTATGGGGACTTCTCTTCCTGGTACTGGAACCCTGAGCAGGGTGCCTGGTGTGGGACAGGGACCCCCTCAGTCCTCAGGGAGGACCTTCCCAGCCGAGGTATCCTCCTGATTTTTATTCGCCACACGTGGGTGTGGGACCAGCCCGTCTGTCTCCACCCCTCCTACCAGTCTTGATGTGGCTGCTGCTTTAATTCCGTAGTTGTGGGACTTCCATTCAGCTCGATTTCAGGCGGTTTTGAATAATGGGTGTTCTGTAGTTTAGTTGTAACTTTGATGTGGTTGTGGGAGGACGCAATACCACATTTACCTACACCACCATCCTGACCGGAAGTCCAAGATCTTTCTTTCTTACAGTTGCATAGTATTCCATTGTGTACATGTACCACAGCTTTTTAATCCACTCATCTACTGATGGACACTTGGGTTGTTTCCAGATCTTAGATATTGTAAATAGTCCTGCTATGAACATGGGGGTACATATATTCTTTTTGATTGGTGTTTCAGGTTTCTTAGGGTATATTCCTGGAAGTGGAAATTCAATTTTTAACTTTTTGAGGAAACACCATAGTGTTTTCCACAGTGGCTGCACCAGTCTGCATTCCCACCAGCAGTGTACTAGAGTCCCCTTTTCTCCACACCCTCACCAAGACCTGTTGTTTGATGATTTGTTGATGGCGGCCATTCTGACACGTGTGAGGTGATACCTTGTAGTTGTTTTAATATCATTGCATCTTCAGAAAACTTAGCTGCCTGTTTTGAGAATAGACTTAGGTATCTTTAATCCATACTAACCCAAGCCCCAGATATATATGCAGCCTTCTAGCCAAGAGATCAATTTTTCTCAGATGATTAACATCATTTATTTAGAAACAGTAAGACAATTCATCAAACTTTCACTGCCTCAAAGGAAGGAGGCCCATTCCCCCACTAGGTTGCTTGTAATTTCATGTTTATTTATCTGTTCAGAGCCCATAAAAACTTAGAAAAAAGCTGATTGGCTTAAGCCAAGCCTCACACACTGTAGACACCCTGAAAGTTCAGTTTGAGGATAGTATAACATCTTAAAGCAAACTGGCAGCTGACAAATGTCCATAAATGGTTGGCTATGTGCTCACAGTAAATGAGTTCTAGATGTTACCTTAATTAAAAAACAACAACAACAAACTAGTATTAATTGTTATATTACAGAAAATGGCTAAGTTTTAAAAAACTGAAAGGCTTGCCCAGCCTGTGTGGCTCAATGGTTGAGCGTTGACCCATGCACCAAGAGGTTGGTGGCTTGATTCCCAGTCAGGGCACATGCCCAGTTGTGGGCCCAATCCCCAGTGGGGGGCATGTAGGAGGTGGCCAATCGATGTTCTCTCTCATCGATGTTTCTATTTCTCCCTTCCTCTCTCTCTAAAATCAGTGAAGAAAAAATAATTTTTTTAAATTGGAAGGCTGCTCATGGATCATACTGGTATTTCCTTGGACAATAATTAATCTCAAATACAAAAATATTATTTGCTATTAACTACTTATAATTTTCTCATTTAACCTTCACAGGAGTCCTGTGAGATGGCTATTGTTGTTACCCACATTTTACTATGAAAAGAATACCAAAAGAGGTTTGAAAAAAAATTCAAGTGTTCTTTGTTATCACTGCAAAGACCTCCCCATAGTTCAACTTTATTTATTCCCCACACATCTCATTCTATGTCTCTCCTTCACCAACAGCTAGATACTGAGGCTCCAAAAAGGCTCCTCTCCAAAGAACACTCCTTCCTTAATCCCACAGATGAAGCCCAACAGTTTTCCCATAAAACGAACTCTTTCAGATGGTCAGAGACCTCAGAACTTTAAACTTCTCCAACACAGTGAACGAATAAAGTTGGTTTTTACTATTTTCGGCTGACCATGAGTCTCAAGCCAACTCTAAGCTTGAAAAGACACCAAAATATATATCAAGTGTGATTATATAAGCCACAACAATAGAAAAAACTTGTTGCAACTAATTTGTCCCTCAAGGTGACTACCAGGTAAGAGAAACTACCTAGATAGGACTTTTATCTCTGGACCCTATGATGTGCTGACATGCTCACATCAGTACTGCAAAGTTTTTATAAAAGTAATCCAAATAAATGCTATCACTGACTGGAAAGTTCATTTGTTTGAGTTAATCAATGGAAATTTATATATATTCATCTGCAATATCTAATTCATTGGCCAGAAGACTGGGAGTAATGAATACTGGTTAAAGAAGATTTAGACTTGTCTATTTTGTTATCTTAAATTCTAATATTTTACTCTAGCCACAATTTCTATCACTTATATCACTTTTTATCAATATTGTCAACTTTTTTAATCCTCTTATTCTATCAGCAAAATCCTAGCCCTGGATTGGTATAACCATCTGCTCTGTCAGTTCCTTCCAAGCTACAAAAACTACCAATGAAAAACTATACTACCATTCCCTCTATTGTCAACTACTAATTCACAGCTTTTCACCTCTGCTCTGGATTCTTAATAAATGTTCTGGGTCAGCAACATCTTCCACTGCACATACCA